AAATGCTGGAACTATATGAGCAAAACCGACAGCCCCAATCTCAGGGAAGTGAAGTGGAAGGAGCTGCTAGTGATGGAGCTCATCGTGCCACTATGAGAAGTACTGCTGCAAGTGAAGAACAGGCTTCAAGGCAAATATCTTCACGCGCTGCACCTGAACATTCATGTGTTGACAATCATGTGGGTTCATCAGGAGCCATCCAAATTCAAAACAACGATAATGGGAGTGGGGAGACAGGTAGTGTGGTTACTGACCACAAAATGGAGATAGACACTAAAGATAATCAGCATCCTGAACAGGTGGCCCATAAGGAGAATATTAGAGAAGGTTACAATAAATCTAAGCATGGATTGGAGCGAACTGGGGGAGAAGACCAAGAAGGGACTGTAGGAAGAAATGAAACTACAGAAGCAATAGAGTGGAGGGATGATGGTGCACCTCGTAAATCTAGCAGCAGCATTGTTGGTCGAAATGTGGATATTCGGGATGGCCCAGTTGGTCAGTCCCCGAAGGAAGCGATAAAAATGATTGACAAAGATAAGGTAAAGGCTGCACTTGAGAAAAGGAGGAAGTCTCGCGGGGAAATGACCAGGAAGAAAGATTTGATGGATGAAGATGATCTTATTGAAAGAGAGTTGGAAGATGGAGTTGAATTGGCTGTCGAGGATGAGAAAATCAAGCGAGAAAGGAGGCAGAGCTGGTCAAAGAGTTACAACCCAGACCATGGTAAGGAACATGGAGAAATCATTGATGGAAACCATGTGGGCATGAAGGGGCATCCATCAAGGGGACATGAAGTTGAAAATGCTGAGGAAGGGGAAATGCTAGATGATTCTTCTCCAAGGTTAAACAGTCGAAAGAGGAAAGCTAGTCCTCTGGATAGGCAATCAGAGGGAAGAAAACGACATGATTATGGTTCAAATTACAATCATGATGCAGTCGAAGATGGACACAAGATGGCTCGGAGTAGTTACAGTGATAGAGAGCACAGAAGGCATGCACAAGAGAATCATTAGCGAGATAGCACTGTATTGTATTTTCTAATTTGTCAGTCTGAAGTTTTTTGGATGGTGATAACTGGCAAATGGCGTATGATTTTACTGGACTGAGGGGCTTGGCTTTACATATAGTCAGTATGATCTCTGGAGTTGGACAAACATGCTAAAGTGTAAGTAAATCAGTTATATTATGGAGTTGTCTTTCACCATAAAAGAATAGTAAGATATGAGGATAGTCGTGTTTCAGCAAGGTGAGGGCTGTGCTGTTTAAAGTCCAACTAATTATTATCTTTTGCATCAATCTTTTTGCCCCTGACTCTTTGGTCCGCGTCGTTTTCTATGTGCTCACTCTATATTATATTTGGAACCGTATATAACAGGGTATTCTTTTTAGTACCCATTTCAGTTCTGCTAGGAGTCATTTTGAAATGATTTCTACCTATTATATTAGATTTGTTTCTTTTTCTTTTA